CAACCAATTGAAATCAGCTCCTTTGCTCTTTATATAAAGCTCTTTCTTGTACACATATGGATTTGTTTCTCAAGTCAACCCAGACTAACACAATTAGTTACATTAAAATGAGGTCATCTAGGCTTAGGGTGGACCTGACATCCAGTGACTGGTGTTCTTAGAAGAAAAGGAGAGGTTCCCTGTGACGGTGAGGGAGACGGAGATTGGAGAGATGCAGCTCCCAGTCAGGGGATTCTGGAAGCCAACAGGAGTTTGGAAGATGCAACGAGGGATTTCCCCCCAGAGTCAGAAGGAGCCTGCCCCTGCAGATCTTTGATTTTAGAAATCAAGCCTCCGAATTGTGAAACAGCCCCTTCCTGTCACCTGCCACCCAGTACTTTGTTATGGCCACCGTGGGAAATAAAGCTTGCGATCTAAGTTCTCTCCTGTCCTATGCGCTCTCTCTGCTTCCACAGCCCTGCTGCCCCCTCTCTGCCGAGCTACCAGGGCTGGCCCCAGGCAGCACCCCTCCCCTGGGCTCGCAAGATGACCTTCCTGTGGTCTGAGGCAGCACCAAAGGCACGTGGTTTCAAATGTATCTCATCATCCTACATGCCGAAAACTTCCGGCAGAAGAAAGCATGTCTGCCACGTGGTGGCACTTCCTCCGGATGACTGAACTTCTGCCCGAGCGTGAGCTTCCTGAGGAAGGGCCTTGTCCTGAGGTGTGCCTGCTCTGTCGGCAGTCCATGATATTTCCAACATTCTTTGCCAGTATTGTAATTCAATGCTTCTGTAGCCTCAGCCATTGCTTGGCTTTCCCTGGTCTTGTAGCTGCATCTTCACATGGTCTCTTCCCCTCTGTGTGTGACTGTGTGTCTGCGGGACCCTTTCTGGTAAGACACTAGAGGATTAGAGCCCACGCTTCGCGGGTGGGATCTCGTCTATCTAAATGATAACGGCTGCAAAGAAAAGCTCTCTTTCCCCAAACAAAGGCCCATTTCCAGGGACGAGGGTTAGGATTCCAGTGTCGATTCTGAGGGGGACACAGTCCTGACGATTTCCATGCATCCTAGGTTTTGTACTTGAGCCAGAAACAAGAAAATGCCCAATGAAGGATTTGCATCCTCAGCCTTCCCACCCTGCCCTGCTCTGGATGTCTGCCCCTGCCTGTCAGTGCACTTTAAGCCTCGTGAAGGCAAGAACCATGGCTGCTCGTCCTCAACCTCAGCCAAGTCTTGCCAGTACTAAACCAAAAACCAGAAACCAAACTCACTGCCATTGAGTTGATCCTGACTCATCACGGCCCTCGCTGACAGAGCAGAACTGCCTCTGTGGATTTCCACAACTGTACCCCCGTAAGGGGCTAGAAAGCCTCCTCTCTCTGCCGCAGGGCGGCTGGTGGTTTCCAACTGCTCTCCTTGAGGCCCACGGCCCAACGAGTAACCAAACGCCTTCAGGGCTCCTTCGTCTACATGGGATGTTTACAAATGGCTCTGTGTTTATTCGCCATGAGCAAGACCACCTGGGTGAAGAGTATCGGATGCACCAGGCACCAGTGTCCCCATGACAACAGGTGGAGCATTCCACAATGCAGGCAAACCTAGGAGGTACTCTGAGTTCAGTCCACCCCGCCACAATAACGTGGACATCGAGCTACACGCATGTTTTGATTTCTCGGTACATGTGACATTTATGTTTACACTATGTAGTCGTCTCTGAAGTGTACACAGCAGGATAAAGAAGCTAGAAATACTGTGAGAATGACCAAAATGGGACACAGAGACGAGAAGTGAGCACAGGATGTTGGGAAAATGGTGCTGATAAACTTGGCTCCATGCATGGTTGCCACAAGCCTTCCAGGTATGTAAAATAAGGGGGGGGGGGAGGTGTGGGGAAGTCAATGTCTGAGAAGCACAATGGAACAAGGTATGCTTTGCTCGTGAATGTTAGAGAACCGCTGTCCTGAAAAGGGGCCACTCCGCAGCACAGCAGTTTCTGACTTACCATGCTTTCTCCAAACCTAGGAACAGAGAATAAACATCCCAAAAGGAGTCTACAGGCATTGGGGAATGGGAGTCTACAGGCATTGGAGATCGGGAGTCTACAGGCATTGGGGATCGGGGGTCTACAGGCATTGGGGATCGGGGGTCTACAGGCATTGGGGATCGGGGGTCTACAGGCATTGGGGATCGGGAGTCTACAGGCATTGGGGATCGGGAGTCTACAGGCATTGGGGAACGGGAGTCTACAGGCATTGGGGAACTGTCAGTCCCTAAGTCGGAATTTTATCTGACTGTTCCTAATCTATTCGCTTCCCTCTTAAACGTCATACTACATGCTATGCATCTGTGCTGTCAATTTCTGTCCCTTTACAAATCTGTGTTGGTCTTTCAGAAATCATTTCCTTGAAGCCTGAAAGGTCGGTAGTCATTCTCGGCTGAGCACCCATTGCTATTGGGTATGTCTGAATAGACCCACGTGGTTCTCCCTCTGGGAACGGAAATCAATTCACAATTTCCTAGTCCAGTGGTTCTTAACCTTCCTAAGACCGCAACCCTTTCATAACTGCCCACCATAAAATTATTTTCGTTGCTACTTCAGAACTGTTATTTTGCTACTGTTATGAATCGTCCTATAAATATCTGATAGGCAGGATGTATTTTCATTGTTACGAATTGAACCTCATTAAAGCATAGTGATGAATCACAAAACAATATGTAATTACATATTGTGAAATGTGTGTGTTTTCTGGTGGTCCTAGGCAACCCCTGTGAGAGGCGACCCCCAGATTGAGAGCCACTGGCACAGACAGAGAGAGGGCGGTGAATGCCATGGAACGAGCACCCCAGATTTGTCGCCCGGCACTTAGCAAACTATTGAGCGAGTATATATGGTTTTCTTAAAACAGAAATGATTAAAAGAAACATCAGTTGCCTACTATAAAATTGCTCTGGACACACGTCGTAAAATGTTGTGTCCTAATGTGCAAAAGTCTATCAGAAAAGAACGCAAACACCCTAGCCGGGGATGTAAGATCTTTTCCAATTCAACTACAAATACCAGTATGTAGGCCCACTCTGACTTTACTCCTTCTCTTCCACGGAGAAGACTTCACCTTGTGTGTGCACTGCAGGTCTGGGTGGGTGTCAACACGCTGTCAGCCCTTGGCATGCACACACGTTTTCATCTCATGCTCTCTTCTGCTGAAAATATCATTGCCTCGCTGGTCAGCTCTAATTACCCAAGGGAAGGAATCTGATTTATGCCTATATTCTGCTGTCCGCCAGCAAAAGATCCCTAATGCTTCTTGCTTGATTAACTGCTGCTTTCTGGGCCAGGCTTGTGTGTGTGTGTCTGCACCACCTGGCTTCATGTGGACCAGAAGAAGAGAGAGCGAGTAAAGGCATGGCAGGTTCATAAGCAGCACCTCCCTACACCATCTATTTCCAACCGGCACAAGATCTGGCTCCTAGGAAGAAGTACAACCAGAATGTTTCCTAGAAGCAAGGAGGGTGAGACTTTGTCTCATGCACTTTGGACATGTTGCCAGGAGAGACCAGTCCCTGGAGAAGGACACTGGGGTTGGTCAAGTGGAGAGGCAGCGAAACAGGAGGGCCTCAGGGAGATGGATGGACACCGTGGCGGCAACACTGGGCCCCAATATAAGACCCATGGGGCAGGATCAGGTGGTGTTTCCTTCTGTTGCACTTAGAGGTGCTGGGCCAGGAACAACCCAACAGCACCTAATAGCAACCACACACAAGCTTAGAGAGACCAGGAGGGATCGTGCCCTAGAGCTGGCAGAGAGAGCGCCCGGCCCTATCCACACCTGGAATTGTACATCTAGGCTCCAGAGCTGTGTAAAATCAATGTCTGTTGAAGTCCCCACTGTGTGGTACCTTATTAAGCAACCCTGGGAAACCATGTTACCCTGCACTCCTCTTTCTTTCTCCCTATTAGCTAATCGTTACTAAGTCCCATTGGCCCTACCTGTAAAAGTGCTCCTATCCAGCCCTTTCTCTCGATCTCCACCACTGCCCTTGGCTTGAAGGTCGTCACTGCTCAGGGGCACTATGGGCTAGTCTCCTAACTGTCCCTTTCTTGCTCATCCATCGCGCTCTCTTCACATGGCAGCGGACGGATCTCTCCCAAGGTCAGTTGGAGTCAGATCATGTCTGAGATCTTGCAGTGGCCC